TGAAGGAAATGAGTATTTAATAAGGAGTTAAGACGAATAATATAGAATTTTAGAATTTAGTTTTCAATAATGAGAATTATTACATGTTATATGAAATAGAAAACGAGGAATTTGATTGTAATTTGGACTTAGTGGAGCATTAAGTAGCACTATATGGAACTCATTTTCATTTTATACAAACAAACCCTAAACCACCGATATAGAGAGAAAAATGGGGGAAAAAAGAAAGAAATGGAAAGAAAAAAGAAGAAAAGAATGAAAACCTAGCGTCGCCGTCTTTCTCCACCCTCTCGGTAATGAAGCTAGGTTTATAGAGAGCAAAAGTGAGAAAGAAGAAAAGGGAAAGAAAAGGAAAAGGAAAAAAAAAGGAAGAATAAGCAAAAACGACGAAGTGTCCGATTGAAATTTGGAGGTTCCGACCTATATCCCATACCCATGTCGTATTGTGTCCGACACAAGTACTCCAACTATTTCGAAGAGTCCGAGTATTAGAGATTTTACATAATTGCAGGCATTGTAGATTGTCTAGGATTGGCTTTGCAAACATCCAAAGATTCTCTGATGCTTTCAAAATTATGAAAATTTGTGGTGTTATTCTGAAACTATTTGGGGGTAAATATAATGTTTCTTTTTTTCTGAAAGGAAATCTGGTTTGTATACATTATTCTATTCATATTTCATTTTAGAATCATTAATGACTCTTTACTTCTTGATTAGCTAAGTTTCTAAGATGTTAAACATGTCATCATTATGCTGTTGGTGGTAATGATCTATATGGTTATAAATATTATTTTGTATGTTGTGTTACTGCTGTTTATTGAACTTTAGAATTTTCTTTTTAAAATGTGGAAAATAATTGCATAAATAAATTGCATGCCTTCAATAAATGAGCTTCAATAAATAAATGGCATGCCTTCAATAAATTGCATGCCTTTAACTATATTTTATGATTCCTGGCAGAGCTTAAAGAGCAAATAGATAGATTTTTCAAGGGTGATGATGAAGCTATCCCTTCAATATTTGAATCAATATTGAAGAGAAAATTGAGAGGGACAGGTGATGACTCAGATGATGAGATTTTGAATGAACTTCCGAATCAGCCCAAACACAATGATGTTAGTGACAAGGAGTTTGATTCGGATTGAGATGAATCACAAAAGAGAACGAGTTATTGTGTGAAAATGATACTTTGCAGGTAGGAATGGTGAAACATACAATGTATCAGTTGTGAATAAATGCAATGTGTGAGTACACTTTCCTTTGAGAATGAAGCATAACACTTAATTTCCATGTCTCTTCTATACTCTACACATAAGCTTGATTTGATCATATGTTATTTGTTATTAGAATTAGAACTAATCAATCTTCGTGGGAACGATATTTGGACTCAAAATTCATTTTACTACTTGTTAGCGAACCGTACACTTGGGTGATTTTAATTCAACATATTTTCGTGAACAATAAGTTCAATTATGTGTTACATAGAGGCGTAGAAATCAAATTTTTAGGTACTATGCACATTTGAAGTATTATTTGGTGCACTCATAAGTAGGTTTCTAAAATATAAAGTCCATCTACATTTGCACAAATTTATCTTCACTCAAAAGTGTTTTTCGCACATTTGAAGTGTTTACTGTACAAGAATAATATGATGAGGAGTATTAGCTGATGTGGTGTATAGAAAACTTTGATTAAAAGCAAGTTTCACTTACATTTTGGTAATTTGGTCCCTAGATATTGACTCTTCATGAATAGCTTTCAAATGTGTTATGTCTTTGAAGTTTGAAATGTCTGTTATTATCAAAACTTAGTCCATATATCAAGATTATACATACAAATGTATTATTAATGAAATTTTACTTGAAATGTTTACTTAATAAAAGAGTAACGCCATCTAGTCTCACTAGCATTATATGTAACACTGATCGATGAATTCATTTAAATGCAATGATGTATTTGACACATTTGGATTTATTAAATGTTGTGGTATTATGTTCTAGCATCGATGGACTGGGTTTTTGTACTTTGTCATTAACTTGTGTTCTAGCATTGCCAGGGCCCATGGCAATGTAGCTGCCCCTTGTGATAGGTGGTTTCTAAGTTAGGGATTCCCATACTGTGCAGTTGCGGATTTAATCTCGCTGCCCCATACTACATTTCAAATTCAAGATTTTGTACAAAATTTTTTAAGATTTTGCATAAGATTTAAAAAAAAAAAAAAATTTAGTTATCGGTTTTGCTCCCACAATTTAAATTTTGTACTTCAAGATTCTGCTCCCACGATTTTAGTTATAGAAATTTGCCTTCATAATTCTACAATCCTAGCTCCGCCCATGATCTTGTGAGATGGATTGTTTGATTGGTCGGGCTCCCCCATCCCATCATAATGCTTGGGCTCTGGTAGGATTTGTCAAAGTGGCCAGGCATCTCCTTCGAGCTTGGTATGAAAATTAATTGAACTTTTTAGGATGGAGATGAACTTGACACTCATTCGACATTATTAACAAAAAATGTTTAATATTGGTGTGACAATGAAAACGGAGTTATTGTTGTCCTTTTTAAAAATAAATCTGGCTGTTGGTCCATCCCATGCACAAAAATGTCTATAGGTTCTGTTTTGTTGCTTTCAAATTTTCAATTTCACAAAAGGAAATTTTAACAGATCCTTAAAAGTATTTTTATGACCCATTTAATCACCCGTTACCGACACAGATTTGATAACTTTGTAACTGGTGGGTGTAGCAGTCATTAAACCTTGGCGTGGACTAATAACAGTTAAAGCAACTGATTCCTTGCAATTGATGCCTTACATTTCACCTTTGTTGCTTATGTTATTTGAAAACTCATTTTCAAATACATATTTACAAAATTAAATATTTTAAATGTAAATTAAAATTTTTTTTCTTACTTTTTAACTATACTAGGTGCAAGCAACGTGCAATGCACGTTTGCGTAGTTTATATTTAATAGTTTTTTTTAAAAATTAATTTGTTATTAATAAAGATGTAATTTTTTTGGTTAATTAAATAATTAATGATGTAATGTTTATATAATTGATAAATAATTAGATGTGTGATTTTGATGTTGTGATGTAAGTTGGAGNTCGAAGAAAATAAGCAAAAGTTGATAAATTTGGAGAAATGGCTAAATTATAAGTGATCCAAAGTTCAGGGACTAAAATGTAAATACTTAAAAGTTGTGCGGAACTTCACGATGAAGATTTGAGAGTGTTCGGAGTCAATTGGATAAAAGAAGATGTCAATGGAATTAAATTTCGTCAAAAGATAATCACAAATTAATTTCCAACCGAAAAGTTATGTTTCGATATTTTAGTCTCATATTGAGACCTATTTTTGGCATAGAAAGTGATCGAATTGAAGAATGAAGTCTGAATCAAAGTTGTAATCAGATAAGTTAGCTTTCCAACTCATTTTGAATTGCATCAATCGGATATCGGAATACAAAGTTATGATAAAAATATTGAAAGAAGGTACAGTTGCCTGTTTAAAACAAGAAATTCTGTTATATAGTCCGTTAAAACAACAAATTCCTTTAGTTTTTCTGTTAAAAATAAGAAATTCTGTTACATAGCCACTTTTAATATATAGAAGATATTCTCTTAAAAATTACTATTAAAAAATTAATTTTTTTTTTTTTTATCTTTTTCCAAATAATGACTATCAAACAGGGTTAAATTCATTAATAATGGAATATACAAGTTGGAGTTAAAAAGCAAAAATGTAGGATCTTTTGATTGGACGTTGAGATTCCTCCTTCAAGAATTGCGTTTTATTTTGAAGACAACAATCCTATGTCAAATATAGATTGAAGGCCGCGCGCGGGCACATCTCCAAGTAGTAAAAGGGGAAAGTGGAAAAACTCCAACTTTGCTTGAGGTTGTCGCGTCAAGGGTTCGAATCCTGAAATACGGATTTGGCCCTTGGATAAATGCAAGTGTATAAGTAGCCTTCCATCCCGTACCCTTGGAGGTATAACATATGATTTATCTCCTTCACCAACGCTCAGAGCAGGGCAGGTGGGGGCCGCTAGGGATACGATTCATCTTTTTTTTTCAGATTGAAGGACTCTAACAGAAGTGACCAATTTTGTAACCTCATTTAATTTGGTTTACCAAAGGGTTGTGCCATGTGGACACAATGGAGTTCATAAAGTTTTACACACCACTCACATGGAGGGAGGCTCGCACACAATAAAATATTTGTGGGTCTCTTTCCATGTGAGGGGGGTGTAAAACTTTGTGTATACCACAAAGTGTACACATAGCATTTTCCCGAAACATATTAACACTATTTCTTATACATCAAATTTTAATTGCAATAAATGTCCTCATTTTTTCTTCTTCTTACATTATTGTATTTAACTTTTCTTTTGTCGTATTCTTATCTTTAATTTTCAATTAAATAGCATATCTTGTCCCTGGTGATATTATTGTCCAAATATTTTGAAGCGATCTTTGAAATGATGGAAAATATTTTGTCGAATATGTTGATTATTTAAAAATAGGAGGGGAAAATGATATTTTTATGCCCTTGTAATGGATTTTTTTGGATAGAAATCGTTATTTGAGATGAACAAACAGGAGATTGACAATAAGAATAAAATTTTTGGGACATATTTGCAATTAGCAAGGATTGAAAATATGGTGTAGCAAACAAAAATCAGATACCATTCGTATAATAATTAACTCTGCAGGTCCATCTCGTGAATGTGATTTGTGAGTATATGGAATAGAAGGAAAAAGACAATTTATGGCAGCTAAAATGGGCACATGAGCTGTTCGTCATTTTACCCTTTTCACGAATGAAATAAAAAATGTGTGATTTAAAAATGGATAAATTTTATGAAATGTATTATTAAAAATTAATTATTGATTTTGACTTAAATTTTGATTAATTTTTCGGTTGTGTTATATGTACCATAATGATGTAGTAATATAAGAATTTCTTCAACTAAATAATAAAATAAAATAAAAATCTCATCCACTCTCTTTTTATTTGTTAAGAAAAATGAAGTAACATAAAACGTTTGTAAAAGCATAAATAAGACTGAATTTAATCAAAATAATTACATAAACAATTTACCATTAGGAGCATGTTTGGCTTACCCAAAAGTTGGCAGTAAAAAAGGGTAGACAGCAAATCAGCAACCAAACTTTATCCTACCCCACATTACCCTCTCATTTCCATTGCCATTTCCATTTTATTGAACAAAAAAGGAAAAGAAACCAAACCCTCATCACATAGATAGAACACTGAAATAATCTCTGAATCTCAAAGCAATGTCATTCTTTACCACTTTTCTCTTCATCATCTTCCATATAACTGCATTATTCGCCTTACCCAACCCGGTCCAAACCGAGGTCCTTTCAGTACCGCCGGCGACTATCCCGGCCTTCCCAGAACAATCAGACATCTCTGGTTGCCCATTGGACCTCCCTGACCAGCTCTTCCACGGTATAAAATCCGCTTGTGGCTCAAATACCCACCATCGACCCGACACGGATCAGCTCCATCGGACTCGCTGCTGCCCGGTTCTCGCGGCATGGCTCTACTCCGCCTATTCGAGCACCGCATTGCAAGCGTACGTTACAAAATTACCGCTACAAACGGCGTCGTACGACATGCCGCTCCTGCCCGATGACTCCGAGACCTGTGCCGACACTCTTGAAAAGGCTTTGGGAAGCAGAGGCATTGAATTGAGGAAGCCTAATGAGACTTGTGATGTATTGTACTGCTATTGTGGCATTAGATTGCATCCATTCACCTGCCCAGAAGCATTTTATGTGAATTCGCGCGGCAAATTGGTGGGTAGTGAGAATGTGAAGAAATTGGAGAAGGATTGCTTCAGTAATAGCATTAATGGGTACGCGGGGCTCGCAGGCTGCTCCAAATGCTTGAACAGTCTTCATTCGGTACGAACTTTCCAAATCTTTCGCTTTTTGTTGGTAAATCACAATGATGTTTAGTACATTATCACTGGTGCATGAAGAATTGAAGATTGGGATCGATTAGGGTTTATATTTTGGGAAAGTGGCTCTTTTATAGTGTTTCCTAGTCGCGATTAAAATGGATAGGAAGCGAGTCTACACCACGCGTTTCCAGAAGGCAGGACCAAATTACTTTTTGTATCCTGCTCCTTTGCTTTTCTTTTATTTATCTGGATTGGAATGATGAATTATATCAACTTCCTTCACTTACGATACTGAAGCTTGCGACTATAATAGCATGTTTGGCAGGCACGGTTACTATCTAGTCATTTCGAGTATTGTGTACTAAACAGGCACTGAAGCCACCCTTTCAAATTTGCTGCACATGATAATTCAAGTCTAGGTCTAGGATGTTCCCATTTGACGAACATGGCTCCTGCATTTGGTGTTCTTTTATTTCTTTACATTCTAAAACTAAGAAAGTTGTTACAATATTAGGAAACACAGCTACATCTCACTTCTCTATGAGTGTTATCCCATTGTTGGATGTGGCTTCTAAATGATCTGATGCCAAAATTGTACTCATTTATGCAGCTCAAAGAGGATAAAGCTGGTCGTACAAACATATCCGACGAGAGGACAAGCAAAATGCAGAACCGGGATTGTGAGCTTATGGGTCTCACATGGCTTCTTAACAAGAACCGAACTGCTTATATACATACGGTGTCTGCTGTTCTTCGGGCTCTCATGACCAGCACTCTAGATGCTTCTGATCCACAGTTATGCTTTCTAAACAGTGATGGCATGCCCCTAGCAGTTGATTCTTCGGAAATCAATGATCAAAATTCGTCAACTATCCCAACAATCTCTCTTTTCCACTACCTCCTATTGCTTTCTTTGTTGTATTTGAGCATCCTCGTGTCATTTACTAGGTATTAGTTAGTTACCACAATTGTAGTTATTTGATTTTCGTGTAATGCACTCCATTCCATTCACTATTCTAAGTGGGATAAAAAAATATTAAAATTCTCAAACGTATTTTGTTATTTAGGATAGTAAGGTTGCAATCTTTCTAGCTATCACAAAAATTTGGAAATTAATTAAACTTATGATTGGCAAATTAAGTTCATGTTTGTCTCCCATTTTTTCAAAATTCTTTTTTTTCTAAATATTCATTTTCAACTGTACATTCTTACAATAAAATATTATATGCGTAAATCTAAAACTTGTGATTGGCAAATTAAAATTCTATATAGATTAAAGATGTAAACGTTGATGCACAACCATTTAGGTTCACATATTAATGTGGAATTCTATGCCCTTATGCATAGTTTCTATTAACTGGTGTGTTATTTTATTCTAAGTTCATGTTTGGTAGGAATTAAAATTAGATTTTAATAAAAGTCGATGAAATGTGTGTTGGGAAATTATTTAATTTC